CTGTTCATATTTTTTTAATTATATTTAAGCCATAACTACATTCACCGTACACGCTCCATAGCAGATATCGCTTTGGCCAAATTAATCTTGCCTTCAAATGCATTTTTTGTTTAAAACCGCTTTTCTGAGGTGAATTGCAACCTTAAATCTATGCTCCCAGAAGATACGCTTCGCGGCATCTACTGACACTAAATTAGTTTCAAGTATCCATAACGTTTTTGCTGTCCAGATCAGATAAATTGCAAAAGTTCGTGTCCAGTTTACATTGTTTATATAAAATAACTTCAACTTGATACTGGCGTTTGTTTTGTTCCAATTTCTGATATATTCTAGACTGAAATCTTGCATCATTCAGTTGCGAGTCGGACTATGTTGACATTTTGCTCATAATGCCTTAAAGATAATGGATAAAAAGAATGCACTTTCCCCATATTATTCTCTATAAATTTCGGAAAGGTTTAAGCGTCAGAACTGCGGCAAAAATCATTAGGAAGGTTTATTTGGATCATAATCCAGGTCTTCGGACGGTCAAAAATTGGTTTGGCAGATTTCGTCAGGGTGATTTTAACCTAAAGAATTTTAACCTACCATTTAATCTAAAGAGTGTTTCAATAACTTGGACCGACTTTAAATGTGAATTAAGTTTAAGCGTCTAATGATTTCTTTTTTATTTTTATCTTTCAGATTTAACAACTTAATTCTTTGGCAATTTCAACCATGGAAAGATTAACAATCAAACAACGTGTTAAAGTTATCGAAGCCTATTATGAAAATGGACGTTCAAACAGAATTTGAATGAGAAGTTCACAGGTCGCATCATCTCTCGAAACAGTGAAGTCAATTGGCCACCACAATCACGCGACTTGACGCCTTTAGATATCTTCCTTTGAGGTCATCTCAAATGTAAGGTCTTTGCCAACAAGCCAACAACAATTCAACATCTGAAAGATGAGATAAAAAGGCATATTGGTGAGTCCGAGGAGCAACTATGCAGAGACATCATCAAAAATTTTGACCGTCGAGTGGAGGTGTGCCACCGAAACCTGGGCGGACATTTGGGCGATATTATTTTTCACACATAATTGGCATAACTTAAATAATATGATCCAATAGAGAAATAAATAAATTTTTACCAATAACACTGATTTATTTACTGCTGGCTTTGATCCGTCTTAATGAAACACCTTTTAAATGATTTTAACCTAAATGATCTATCACGTCCCCGGTGACCTTCCCATGTCGATGAAGAGGAACTGCTTGTCATTGTGGAGAATAAACCAAAGATTCCCACGGAAGTGATTACTAAGAGTTTTAAAATCGATATTCAAATTGCTTCAAGAAAACTGGCCGATTCTGGCAAATCAAAAATGTGCAGAAGCTTAAAGAGTTTGAAATGGGGAGCCTTCGAGCACTCAGTGTATTCTTCTGACTTGACTCCTTCAAATTTTCATTTTATACGGTCTCTACAGAACAATTTAAATGAAAAAAAATGTCTCTGTACAGTCAGTTGAAACTTGCCTCACAAACTTCCAAAAAAAAAAAAAAAGTTTCTATGAAAATGTCATTAACAATAATTATAGAACGATGGGGGGGGTTGTTAAAAACAATGACGACTGTGTACCTGACTAATATTTTATTTTGTGAATATGTAAAATTTTTATTCTTATTTTCTAATCAGTCACCAATTTATTCAATGATATTTGCTGAATCTTTTTGAAATATTCTGAATATCTGAAATGTCGCTCTTTGAAATTCTACTTTCCTGTTCTTTACGGCAGCGAATTTTTGACGATTTCCTCAAAGATGGAGACTTGAGGCAACAGAGATGTGGTTCTACAGAAGGATGCTAAGGATATCATAGACCGTGCACTGTGAGCAATGATGAGGTCAGAGAGGTTGCAAACAAGGAGTCTTATACTTAACATCAGGAAGAGGCAGCTGAAGTTTCTGGGACACATAACGAGGAAGGAGGGCCTGGAGAATCTGATACTCACGTGTCGAATAGAGGGAAAGAGAGACAAGGGAAAAAATCGCGTGACATACCTGGCGGACTTAAGCAAGTGGATGACAGAACGTGGTCTGGGGGAGGTGGCAAAGGAAGAGAACATGTTGAGAGTTACAAGGGATAGGAGGCGACGGAGAGCCATAATCGGCTACGTCCTGAAAAGATATGGCACAAAAATAAGAAGGATCATTTGCTTCTTGTCTCATATTCTGAAAATTACGCCATGGTTTTAAGGAATGGTAAGAGCGTTGGAGTTCGATGTAACTATTTGTAATATATGTAAGCACATATTGGTACTGTTCTGAAAATATATACCTAGATATATTTTCGTAAGTGCAAACAAAAATCACTTCTGAGCCATTATCCATTCAACCGCACAATGTCTAGAGCAACTGGTATTCCCAAGCGTTCACTCATCTAGGTAACGACCAGGCTCAAAGTTGCTTAACTTCAGTGATCGTACGAGAACGGGTGTTTCAACGTGATATAACCGTAAACCCCTTATATTTATATCTGTATTCAATATATAAAGAAAGAAAGCATTTATTTATTTTATTACTTCAAACCTATTTGAGTAGACGCTCTGTTTTATTTTAAAACTTTGAAACAATAAAAAATTGTCTGATTAAAAAAATAATAATAATTCTTTAGAAATTCCCTTATTTATGTTTCGTTTATGGAACCGGTCAGCCATTCCTTTCAAGAAATCTCAACAAGTCTATGCAAACCGGCAAATAGTATCTTGCTTGATCGTGAAGATCTCAGTAGCCGAGCGGTTATATATCTATATATCCAGGATATTTTAAAAAAATATGGCTAGTGGTGATAAAAAAATACAACCTATGAAACGCGATAACTAATGTATGTGTATATATATATATATATATATATATATATATATATATATATATATATATATACAAGTATAGGATTCAACATCATCACTTGATAAGACACCGGAGGTGTTAGACAAAATAGCTATTTTTGTAGTGATTTTATAACATATTTATGTTATAATTTTTAAATAAATAATTATATATATATATATATATATATATATATATATATATATATATATATATATATATATATATATACGAATGTAATGAGAACAAAAATAATATATAATATATAAATTCTAACGTTCATAGCATTAATTCAAAAAGAGGGCTCAATAACGATAGTAAAGCAACAATTATTTATTAAAATTTTTTCATATAGACAAAACCAATTTACTCACGACAAAGATGCAACTTCGTTTCAGTGCATTTAAAATTGCACTTCGACTGGTGAGAACCAAAATGGTTATGAAGTATTCTGTTTGTAAGCAAACAGCAAAGTAGGAGATTGTAATACGATGAAAATGGAGATTGTAATATGATGAAAATGGAAGAAGGGATAAATTCAAACGAAAGTTATAGTAGTAATTGGGAATGTTTTTTGGTTCATTTTAAAAACTAAGACAGAGCTGAATTGTATATATTTAGGTTGAAGTTATCACTACTAGTTTGTAATCAATGAAAAGGATATTTAAATTAATAAATTAAGAGGTGGAGATTTCTTCTTTGTATGTTGAATACATAAGTTATGCGGATTTTAAAAAAATCAGCTTCAATTTAGATATTAAGATATAAGTAGATATTAATATAATTTTTATAAGCAAATTTTGATATTGTCGAACTGTATAACGTGTAAAATAAGTATGGGTATGGGTGTAAATCAATTTATCTGAAAGTATTACTAGTATTACATATGCACAAACTTTTTTTACGAATTATAATCTAAGATAAATTAGTAGAAAGGTATATACGAGGGTAGAAAGTATATCAAAGAAGGTGAGTTACAATTTTAAACGTTTAGAGTTATGGATTTAAAAGTTTAGCCAGATTGTAATGTTCGATCTTTAATATGCCTACAAAAAACAGTGGTTTCATATCTTTGATTTAATTATTGGGTGTTGTTCAAAAGTTCGATAATACATATTTTTTCCTGCAAACATAAAAAAAAACAAAGTTCGTTCAGAGAATTGCAATTTCTGGCTTGTTTTAGGATTTTCCATTTAATCTTTGGTGTTTTTCCTTCCTCCTTCAGTTTCCAAAAATATTTCGAAAGCGATGTCATATTGCGCTTGCCTGAATTTGTAAAGGAGGATATGTGATTGTAATATCGATCCTTAAAAGGTCTTCTAGTTGATCCCACATACAATTTAATATCCCTGGGGTTGTCATTTGATGAGATATAGCATATATATATACAAGAGATAAGCACCTGTTTGTTTATGGACGCTGATCTGGGATTCTACTATAATATAGCTCTGTTACTTGGGGTATATTAGAATTTGTGTTTGGGTTGCATTTATACTCGCTATGAAGTTCCAGTACCTTAATTAATATGTGCAACTCTAAAATAAAAAATAATTTCAATTTTATGATTTTACATATATATGTACATATCCCGTTTATTTTAGACGCCAAATATAATTTGTAACACATTTTAAGAATTAATGATCTATAATGCCAGTATGATATATAAATACGCCAATATTGCGAAGACCAGATTTAAATTGCGTAACGGTTAGTGAAGATTGCGTTGTGCAGGAAACTCCGAATCGTGCTGTCGATGAGTGATAATACACACACACACACACACACACACACATATATATATATATATATATATGAAGACATAAGAAAATGTGGGAAAAAGAAAGTGAGACAAAGAAAGAAAGAAAGAAAGAAAGAAAGAAAGAAAGAAGCAAACAAACAAACAAAGGCGGGGATAAGTGAAAGCAGGGGAGAGAGAGTGAGAGTGCATCTATGGCAGACGGAAATTCTTATTTGACTATTTGCTAACTTTGGGCCTCGTGGACGAAGGACCATTTATGTTCGCTTCATTGCATCGGTTTCATTTACTGCTCCGATGCACGCAGCCGTGGGAAGACGCCATTTTCAGCGTCCATTTGCGTCCTGTTGCTCCTGGTTAGACGCCGGACATACGCAGTTTGATGACCAGTTCTTTTCACCATAATCGGGAGAGTGCATATGTGGCTGTGAATCAGACTCCCACCCACAAATGTGTAGACGCACACATACACGCGCGTGCGCACACACACACACACATACATACACACACACACACACGCACAAACACACACACACACACAAACACACAAACACAAACACACACACACAAACACACACACAAACACACACACAAATACACAAACATACACACACACAAACACAAACACACACACACACACAAACACACACACACACAAACACACACACACACAAACACACACACACACAAACACACAAACACACACATACACAAACACACACAAACGCACAAACACAAACACACACACACAAACACAAACACACAAACACAAACACACAAACACACACACAAACACAAACACACACACAAACACACACACAGAGGCAGAAACACATGTATGCGTTTATCAGTAACAGTAAGAGTATAAAACCGTTTATTTTTCCATTTCCCATTATTTCAAAGATGAAAGCATTTGTCAAATCCTGTGTGTGTGTGTGTATGAATGAAAAATGTGTCTTTTCTGTATATATATATATATATATATATATATATATATATATACTGGACTCTCCTGTCTTTTCGAGGTATGAGGGTCAGTTCTTAGAACCAACAGCCGGACTGCGCGCACATATAATTTGATTATAGACGTGAAGGCATGTGCAGAACGAGCGACACTTTTTGCGAAAAACCGAATACAGAGAACTGGTGCACAAAAAGATCCTCCGTAGGTTTTGAATTCAGAATTGTCATTCTGTAGGCCGGTTGCCAGCCAGGGCTATATAACCCAGTCTGTCCTGCTATTTACTCTCACACATTCACACGCACACGCATATATATATATATATATATATATATATATATATATATATATATATATAATGTAAAAGGCTTAAACACTAATATTCCATGGTTATAATTTATTACATTGGAATCGTAATCACGATCCAATTCATCAGATCTACAAATTAAAAAAGAAATCGGAAAATATAACTCCGGGTATAAACAACAAAAACAAAATTTTAGTGAGAGTCTCACTAAAATTTTGTTTTTCCATGTAGGAAAGAGCATTTAGAATGATGTGTGATATGAATGAGGTTTCGATCAATACATAACGGTTGACATTAGACATGAAGATGCTAAAAACTGAAGAGTAGAACTTATCTGAACATTTGCCATGGAAATAGCGATAGGGTAGCGATAGACTGACAAAGTTGCCTCCGTGGGAAAGAGCATTTATAATGGAAAGTGATGTGTGATATGGATTATGTTGTGGCCTATCAGTAACGCTTGACCTTAGAATTGAAGAAGTTAAGAACTGAAGAGCGGAACTTACGTAAACATCTGCCCTAGAAATAGCGATGGAGTAATCAATAGGCTGACAAAATTGCGTCCGCGGGAAAGAGGACTTACAGCAGAAAGTAAACCAACATCAAAAGACTGATTTTTATCTCTATGACGATACTAAAGTTAGGACTGTCCATCCTCAGGCCAGACATGGCAACAACACCCTATATACTATAGTGCGAATTTTTATGATTATTTTTTTTTTGCGGAGATATAGAGGCTCGCACTATACACAGTTAATTATTTGAAGAGGCTTGGTAACCGGTTTCATTACATACAGTTATTTTTTTTTTCTGGTGAGGTAAAAAATTTCGTCGCACTATACATGAAATCGACTTATACACGAGTAAATAGGGTACTTGACTTCTGGTCTAATCTGTCTCTTGCAGAAATATATCATGGTAGAATGATTCAATTACTTCTTTGGGGTGCTTCAAGCTGCCAACATTTTTACCAGCATCTTTAGCGGTGGATGGCGTATAAGTTTTTCACTTAGAACCTCGTTGAGAGTTCGACCATGAATTGTAACAGGAGAAAGCCCGATCGATGAAGATGACTGATGCTTGCTAGTTTTTAGGGGCATTGAAATATATATTTCCCCCATTGCTCTCTTTGTGCCAAGTCTGTAGAATTGTACAAAATAATATTTTTTTTAGTTTTCCACTCGGTCTAAACTTATGCAATGTTTTAATTTTGTCTTGATTGAAATAGATACCTGTAAGGATTTTATAAAATGCTCCACGGAAAACAAACTGTTTCCTTGGGCAAACAGGTTGAGTCGAGGCGTTGAGGTTCAAATCCGTTATTTCAACAAATAATTTCTGGAGATGTGCCGGATGCTTAAAACCCAACTACATATCTGCTTCTCCATTCGAAGCAAAACAAACTGATTAATGAACCAATCAAATAAGAAATCATTTGTGTGTTGAATAAGTGGTGGAATAATGTTACTGAAACGAATATGGCGGTCGAAATTTAAGATCGTCTTGGATGACGTCTCATCGGTCGTAACTTCGCATTTCGTTTACGTTAGAGCAAATTGGGCGATATTATGGCGGCAGCAAATCCCTGCGTGAGAGCGAATAAGC